ACACTTATATACAGATTAAAAAAGACCGGAGGGAGTACTTGAGAAGGAGTTGGACAAGAGTTTGCGAGAAAAAGGAAAAATACAACATGGCCATCACTCTCCCGGCATGACAAATATTCCGCTCACGCGGCAGCCCAAACCTTAGCATCATTCTTGATGGAGTGAAGAAGGGTGAGAGAACTTGTTTCCAAAAATCCGGGCATTCCACTCATTCTAGACGGTCCAACTCAGGAGCATGGACTTTTGTAAAGACCTCTCCCCGGGCCAGCTGGATGCGTAAATACAATCTAGCTGCAGTCATACCGTCACCATGTCCCAAAGGTACAATGTATACCCACACTTGACGAAGAGGTATGCCGCGGACTCTTGCTCCCTTTTACATAATGTGCATAGTCCACAGTCATAGCCCCCTATTGTCTCCTTTTTCCCTGGATCCTCATTGTTTCCCATGGATTGGAACCCTAAGATTATATTTTGGAACGTTCGTGGTCTCAACTCTGTGCTAAGCGTGCCGCCGTCTGTAGTGTCATATCCTCGGACTTGCCTGCCATCGTCTGTTTACAAGAGACCAAGCTCGAGCTTTTTCCCCCCACCCTCGTCTCGGAGACCCTGGGGCCGGCCTTCTCGGCGATTATTGGCAACGCGGAGGCGCACACATACTCCCTTGACCTGGATGTGATCGATCCTCGATCCTTTGATCTCTCCTCGCTCGAGCAACCATTCACTGAGGACGAGGTGTGGCACACCATCAAGCTGCTTCCCACCGGCAAATCTTCGGGCCCGAACAGCTTCTCCGCTGAATTTTTGCGTTGCTGTTGGGATGTTATCAAGGCAGACTTCATGGACGCCTTTAGCAAGCTCTACCACATGAATCGCAGGGGCTTCCAGTGCCTTAACAAAGCGTTTATCACCCTGCTCCCCAAGCGCGCCGATGCGACCACGCCGGGCGACTACCGACCCATCAACCTTTTTCACCTAGTGGCCAAGCTGGTGGCCAAAGTTCTCTCCTTGTGCCTTGCACCTCGGCTCAACGAGCTTGTCTCCTTCAGCCATAGCGCCTTCACCTCTGGCCGTTCGATCCACGACAACTTTCTTGCTTGTGCTGCAAACAGCTCGCCACCTCCATCAATACAAGGCCAACCGAGTGCTGCTCAAGCTTGACATTGCACGCGCCTTCGACTCCGTGTCATGGCCCTTCCTCCTTGAGATCCCACGCCATCTTGGATTCAACCGGCGGTGGTGCGAGTGGGTGTCCATCCTTCTGTCCACCACGACCACGCGGGTCCTCATCAACGGCGTCCACGACCAGATCATCAGCCATGCGAAAGGGCCTCCGGCAGGGCGACCCGGTCTCCCCCATGCTTTTCACCCTGGTGATTGATGCTCTCAACTCCCTGCTACAACACACAATGGGTGTGGGTATTCTCCGGCGGTTTACTACACGCCATGTCAGCGTGTCCCTTTATGCCGACGACGTCGTGCTCTTCTGCCACCCGGACGCGGCAGAGCTCACCACCGTGCGCTCCAATCTTCATGTCTTCGATCATGCCTCGGGTCTCCATACCAACTTCATGAAGTGCTCCGTCACTCCTATCCACTGCACCGACGCCGAGACAGCGGCTGTTGCTACGGTGCTTTCATGCCCCCTAGTGAGCTTCCCCATCCCATACACGGGCCTCCCGCTTTTTCTATGTGCAAGGTGCCGGCCTCGGCTCTTCAAATGCTCGTGGTCCGCATGCTTAAAAAGCTCTCCACTTGGCATGCCTCCATGCTCTCCAGAGGAGAGCGTCTCGCCCTAGTACGGCATGTACTCTCCGCTATGTCAAAGCATCTGCTCATGGCCATGGCGATCTGTCCACCGGTCCTCAAGTGCGACAACAGTGGTAAACTCAGCATAATGACTACCGATGGGACCTTTTGGTTCTATAGTGCAAGTCAACAGTTCAATTTTCGGTCAAAACTTCTTAGAGTAAAACCCAATCAACCTGCTTGTGCAAGCACTACAAGCCTTCGCTATTAAGCTACCTACGATTGGTAGGGTCCTTAGATCCGACAAGAATAAGAGCATCTAGCGGGGAATTTGGGTTGGACGTCCTTGGATGTTCAAAATGCGATACCTCTTGGACCAAAATATTGGTTATAGTAGAGGAAGATGCCGAAAAGGATAAATCAATCAACTTTGGATCAAAGGGAGTCTTTGGACATGAAAATCAAGATGAAGCATCAAGATTTTCGAACTCTCCTACCAAGCTGAAGATCCAAGACGAAGCTATTCCGAGGATTTTGATGTCATCGGCTTGAAGACTAGTTCAGTGGCTACTGACGGTGTCCTAGATAAGGGGGTGCAAACCACGTCACCCCCTTAATAGTGGACTGGACCAAGGACCCCTGGATCATTAACAAGTGGTCCAACACTACCATGCCTTTCGGCGTGCTCAAGGTAGAATCTTCTGAAGACTTGGCGCATATTCCAAGACATATTTGAATCATCGGCATGTTTATCCCTAGATGTAACCGGCCTCATGTAAACCATAGGAAACCTCGGTCCCTATATCAGTCGTGGGGTTTTATCTTGTAGGGTAGGGAATTAGACAATCACATATGATCTCGAGGTAGATGATCATGTACTTTGTACTCCAACTCAATCAATACAACAGAAGCACGACGTAGGGTTTGACCACTTCGAGAGGGCCCAAACCTGCCACGCTCGGAACAAAAATGTGGCACCTTATCGTACTGGGACTCAAACCTCCCAACCTTGTGTCCATGAACTGCGCATCATGGTGCAAGCCCCATGCCCTCTGCATGGCCCTGTCTATGGCATTGATGCTTAGAGAACATGGAGAGAAAGCCTTTCCCACTATTGCCTACCTTGAGGATTTGGGGTGGTCCTTTTCTGGATTGTCGAAGATCAGCCCAATGCACCCCCTTCGCCATCGAAACAAGACCCCGCATCCTAGCAGAGAGACTACCCGGTCCGTTTGGTGACTTAGCCTCCACCGGCAATCAAGAAGATCTCTAGACGCCTTCTTCCTTAGCTGCTTCTTGGATGGGCTCGCCATACTCCACGTCTCCTTTAGCTATAGAACACACACCGAGGAGAGAACCGCAAGTCTGTCAGTGAGGAGAAACTACGCCACCACAGTCTTCTCCACCGCCGGAAGATTAGCCTCCCTCGAGCGAAGAAATCATAGACCCTGGCAATGCCTACCGATCACTTTTGTGATCGCCTCTCTAGCGAAACATACGCCCGTGGTGGGACCCCCATTACCAAGCTCTTTTGTCTGTGTTTTAGCTAATGGGGATATTGGGTGCACGAATGTGGGTATCGATAAATTAATTTAAATAATTTGATAAAAAAAGCGTATATGGATAACAAAGCTATATATTCAGGAAAGTAATTTCACGTCATTGTGACATTTACCTAGACAAATACCCGTGCGTTGCTACGTGATGGAACAATATTTGAAAGAGTGGTCGCATGCAAAAGTGGTAGATTATGGACAGTTTAAAAAAGAATAGCTAAAAAGGTGAGTCATGTAGACTATTAAGGAAAACAGGTTGGAAAAAATCCCTACACCTAATGAGTTGCATTAATGACTCGGTTTCCAAACTAGTTCTGCACAAAAAAATCTCTATTTAAATGGATGTGATTAATTGCACATACAATCAATTATTTAGCTAATTGATTACATTAATGGCTTGATTTTCAAGTTTACTCGACACTTAATTTTTAAATTATTTTTTATTAGTGGCTACGTGGGAACAAGAAGATCTATATACCACTTTAATAGTAAAGATTAATTGTACTCCCTTTGTTCCTAAATATAAGACCTTTTAGAGATTTCACGATAGACTACATACGAAGCAAAAGGAATGAATCTACACTTTAAAGTATGTCTATATACATTTGTATGTAATCCATAATGGGATATCTAAAAGGTCTTATATTTAGGAACGGAGGGAGTATTAATAGTTCGATTTGTGAATTAATTCGGCTCTTGTTTTCAAATTATTTTCACATTAATAGCTGCGTGTGAATGACGACGTACTACACATATCATAGAGATAGGTAAGATGTTATAGATGCTCTAGTGGGCTACTCTTCGTCCCATAATATATACTCCCTCCGTTTCTAAATATTTGTTTTTCTAGAGATTTCAAAAAATGACCACATACAAAGCACAACGAGTGAATGTATACTCTAAAATATGTCTGTGTACATATGTATGTGGTAGTCCATTTAAAATCTCTAAAAAGACAAATATTTAGGAACGGATGGAGCAGCTTGCAAAAACGTCTTATATTGTGAGACGTTTCTTTTATAATAATAATAACACTCCTTCCTTCCCATAATATAATGGGTGTGGCTAGGTCTCCGTCGACTGAAATTTAACTAAATCTCAATCAATGAAAGAAAAATAAAAGAAAAAGTAAAAAGGAAAATTTTGCGCGGATCTTAATGTAAGATCTCTCGGATATAGCATCGACTGAGCCAGTCAACTGAGACTTATTAATATAATAGCGTTTTTTAAACATTCGTATACTATGGGACGGATGGGAGTATAAACCATGGACCACGCCCGTGCCCTCGGAAGCACACCATCCATTAGCGAACAAAACGCCGCCTCGCCACCGAAAACCAGGTAAAATCACGTCAAAATAAGAAAAGGAAACATGTAAAAACCCAGACAAATACCCACACGTAATCTTCTTCACAAGCCCAGCGCCGAGCCAAGCCAGGAACCTTCCTTTCATCAGAACGAAAAACGACGAGCTGCATGAAATTTTAGTAGGATCTCAAAAAAGCCGCGCCTCTCGTGAGGCTGACGCCTATATAAAACAGTCCACTTCCGCCACTAATCACACTCCTTCCGGCTTCCGTTACCGGTTCCTTCCGTCTCCTCCCATTCATTAAGGCGAGAGCCCCTCGCTCGCTCGTCCAGACCAGGAAAGGAGCGCAAAGCAGGCGGGCGGTTCGTTGAGATCTCGGCCGCGCCATGCCGAGGACGAGGAGGCTGCGCGGCGGGTTCCGGCTCGGCCGCAAGCTGCTGACCGTGTGGCGGTGGGCGCTCTGCGGCCGGAGCCGGCGCCGGGGGGGCGGCTACCTCCGCCTCGACACGCCGTGCCCGAAGGAGGGCCGGGAGGCCAAGAAGCTGGCGCCCGTGCTGCGGTGGGGGCGGTCGCTGGCGCGGCTCCTCAGCCTCGGCCGGACGGACCGCGGCCGGCGAACGCTCGGCGGCGGCGGCGGCGAGGCGGTGAAGACCCCCAAGGGGCAGGTGGCGGTGTACGTCGGCGGCGGCGGGCCCGGGGAGCCGCTCCGGTACGTGGTGCCCGTGGTGTACTTCAACCACCCCATGTTCGGGGAGCTGCTGCGGGAGGCCGAGGAGGCGTTCGGCTTCCAGCACCCCGGCGGCATCACCATCCCCTGCGCCGCCGCCAAGTTCGAGCGCGCCGCCGCCGTGGCCGCCGCCGGGAAGAAGGGGTTCGCCAGGTGGTAGCATCGGGCCCGTAGGCGTAGGAGACTGGAGACCGAGACCTCGGCCCTCGCTGGCCTGACCGCCTCCGCTGCGTGCGGCGGAGGCGAATGGTGACATGGTGTACAGCGCATGTGTGTTTCCATCAGCAAAGGGGCTAATTTTGTTCCATTGATTCATCTTCCTGCCGTTTAACTAGACTAGTGGATGGATGCGGTTCTTTTTCTCCTTCTAGGAAAGGTTATTTACTCATCGATGGATTCTGGATGCGTGTATGCAAGTTCTTGTCAGAATCTCTATAATCTCATCGTTTGCTGTTGACAAATCTGTCCTCTACCAACTCCGGGGAGCGAGCGAATCGGGCCGACGAATTTCTCTTACGAACGTTCAATTCAAGACCGGAGGATGGTAGTATGAACACAAAAGGTTCTACCGGAGTCGATGCCACGCTCTGCAATGGATTTTGCGGCCATCCCAGCCCAGCCTAGAAATTTCCCACGAGCAATTTCTCATGAGGCCATTGAATTCATGCTTATCTATCTCTGACTAGGGAGTACGGGGAACCGTGCCACTCAGTTACTCCTCCTCCCCACCTAGGAAGGTGGGGACGGTACAAACCTACTGTACGAACCGTACGCACCCCGGCCGGCCGTACCTCGGTCACGCACGCATGATCCGGCGGTTGGTTGGAGCACGCTCCTTTGGCCATGCCGCTTTCGCACGCCATTGCCATACCCCCGCCCGCTCGCCCTGCCCGTGCCTGTGCAAGGGGCAGCTCCATAGGCGTGAAGCCACAGCTAGCAGCAGCCAGCAGCAACGACAGACAGCCAACGAGCACGGCGTCACTCCCGTCCCGTGCCTTGCACCGTCGTGTCCCGCTTTCGAATCAGCCGCACCGCCCCTGCATGGCCCCGTGCGGCGCGCGCGCGCGCATCCTTTTCTTCCGGTGGAATTCCACCGCGACGGCGATGGATTCCGTCCGGCTTACGGGTGGCTTTCCAACTTGCTGCTCTGTCGTCGTGTCCGTGCAGATGGATGAATTCCGCGGGGAGTGGACGCGTTGGATTCAGGTCGCCGTCCCGGGGAGGTGCACTTGCGCCACTGGGCTACGCAAGCCGAGATGGATCCGGGAAATCGCCCGGCTTTGGGCAAAGGCAAAGCTGTGACGGGCGTTGCAGAAACCGTCACACCCTTCTCTTTCCTTTTCGTTACTCCCGTCCCGGCCTCTCTTTCTTTCTTTCTTTCTTTCATGTCGACGCCGTCTCTCCTTCCCCCGCCTGGGCCCTGAGGCCAGCAGCAATCCTGAGCAAGAGCATATCGGCGTTCCCACTACGGAATCGTCTTTTTCTTCGGTTTCTTTCAATGAATTGTCTTTCTTCATGGAAAACAGAAATACCACGACGGAGAAACCTGAATTAAAATCCATGGAGCCCAAAAGGAAGCACAAGTACAACTAGCTAGGCCAACTCCAACGCGCGGCCGACGTTTTCTGTCCGCTTTCGACTCATTTCCGGTCTAAGTTTGGGCTGAGTTTGCGGTCGAACGGATAACGCGCGGACGGGCAGGACGCGCCCCCCCTTGTCCTCCCCTGGCCCACCCGTCGGTGGCACAGCCAGCTACTTTTCCTCCTTTTTCTCTAAAACCTCCCGCACCCCCGGCCTTTCCCCTCTCTCCGTCCATCATGCCCGATGGCGCGAATCCCGACACCCCACCGCCTGTCGCGAAGAAGAAGAAGCCGCGGTTGGAGCTCTCGCCGGCATCCGCCACCAAGCTCGACAGGGAATCGGCCAAGAGGAGGGACCAGTGATCCGTTGAAAAGGAGAAGAAGGCCGCCGTGCAGTACACATCCGAGTATGCCTTGTGGCGTGCGATGCAGCACCAGGCCGAGATCGACGACAAAGAGTCCATCGTCTCCAAGGCGCACGCCCTCCTCATGATGGGAGGTATGGCCCGCCCCACGCCAGCCATTCTCTCGGTCGCTGCCATGGCCGCAGCCAGCACAGGCTCATCGGCTCATCGACCGCCGCAGCATCGTTCGCCAAAGCTCGTCCGTGTCACACGGCACGCCGGATTTTCGTGCTCCGTCGCTGCCATGGCCGCAGCCAGCACATGCTCGTCGGCTCATCGACCGCCGCAGCACCGTTCGCCAAGCTCGTCCGTGTCACACGG